ATTGAAATGTTAATGTAATGGATTTAATCATACATCATGGTGCATATTTTACATTTTCCCTCGCTTCATTTTGCTTCTTCCTTTTTCTGTATTCTACTTTTGTATGTCCCTACATATTTCTTGATGAAGTTAACTGTGTCTTACATGTTTCGGACGAATACAAGTTATGAATTTATAGTCACCATTTTAACTTCGCATTCTTTAAACCATTAACTTAGTTGGTAAACAAGATGAGTAGTGGTTGTACATTCTCTCCAAAATGACCACAATGACAGACAAACAATAAATATTTTGGCTGCCTCAAATGTTAGATGTAAAGTTCTCAAACTACCCTTCTTGTTTTATTTGTGAATTGTTAACTTTTAGTGATTATTAAGAAGAATGTCAAACATGTATACAGCATATTACAGTAAATACACATTCATCATCATTATTTTTGGAGTAAACCCTGAACAATATATGGGACTCCATGTGTGGAATGTATATTGAGATGATCAGATTGATATAATTAAATGTAGAGTATATATATATATGTAAAGACTTATTGTTAATGACACCTTGTTCCTTTCCTCTCTCTCACCTCCTGACTTCCTAAACTCACTATCACAACTTTTCTTACTCCCGTCACCCCGCCCCTCCTCTTCCTCTTCTTCCTCCTCTCCTCCTGTTGGATGTGTTCACTAATGGCATGCGGGTGACATCGTCCTTGGGAGACAAGCCTTTTATTCCAGTAAGCCCTTTTCATTTCATTAGGCCTGAATTTATGGTGGCACACACACACACACTCTTATAGAGGGAGATAGCACCATAAAAGCTTCAGTCAGTTTCAAGGGGGAAGCCTAATGTCTGTGACACCGCCTTTATTTATGCAGACAGGGAGGCTGGGGAAGACTATCAATGTGACACACACACACACGCCTTCAAATAGCAGCTCAATACTGTGTGTGTGTGTGTGTGTGTGTGTGTGTGTGTGGGACCTTGTGGCATTACCCCCATTAGTTTAGTACGGACAGTCCATTAGTGCTAATTGAATGAAGGTAAAAGGCAGCGCCACACTGAGAGAATCTAAATGAACTGGGTCTGTTACTTACAGCAGATCTTATATCACACACACACAACAGAGAAAAGACCTCCCCAAAACACCTCGTTGGAGATTTCTCCTTTTCCAATATTTTCTTCCTGGGTATCGTGACGTAGGGATACCCAGTAGCCACGCCCAGAGCTATGGCTGCACCCTCTGCCAGCCGAACATATATACTGTTGGAAGCTCAGGTTCAGTTCAAAACTGTATCCAGTCATGCCAATGAGCGTCTGTTTCCTGTCTTGTGAGGGGAAATCTTCAATGTATGCCTTACCGAGGGCAGAACCACAACGCAGTCTGTGGTTGACATTTCTCGTTAACACTGTTCCTTCAGATGTTCGAGCCGGTATTGTACTGTATGCGCGGCATTTCACGGACCAAAGCTTCGCAAACATTGCAGCGATTCATGCCGGATATGTACAGCGTAGGACACTGAAGGACGATGCTGTTCCTACTTTGTTTGGACCCGCGGGAGATTCGGGTACACAACCTGTAAGTGTGCATTGTTGTTTGTGTATTTATGATGTTTAAAACAAACAAGGTATCTACCACGACTGTTTAAATGGGTAAACGTTTTTCGGGCTGCTAAGCCATTGACACAGTGCTAACTGGGCTAATTAAGTTGCTAGCGTTTCCATATATCAGCTCCAATGTCAGCAGATGGCCTTACATACATGTATCTCATAGCAAGAGAATGTCTGCATTCACACACGAAATACTCATCGACAGTATACTCCGGGTGATTTACCGTACGGTCAGTCGCAAAACTTAATTACATTATAGTTGGCGTTCCTAGCGTGTATGCTACCGAGCTAAACAAGAAGGCTACCAAGAGCTAGACATGCTCGGGAAAACATTGTTTTTATGCCAGCTACAATGAATGACCGAACGTAGCAGACTACCCGTATAAGATTGCAATTGTAAACATGTTCTTGCTAGCCTAATATGAACCACTAGCTGTTGTTCATAGTAGCATATTACACTGAACAACTAGCAAACGTAGGTTAGCATATTAATCTAGCTGGCAAGCTAACGAACCTAAAACAACTAAGTTTCTCTAATATTTTGTGATTTGCATTTGATTTCGTCCAGCCAGATCAGGAAACTCCTGGCGTCTCCGGCGGACAACACATGACGGGATGACCACTCTGATGCCTCGTCCTAAAAAGCCCCAGCACCAGCTTACAAAGCTGCGATAGGCAAGATGCCGAAAACGCCTATAAGGGGAGGAATGGATGATATACAGTGTATTTATATATATATGTATATTTACACATGTTCATTTTGTACATTTCTAAAAATAAAGTTTGATGGAAATACTTAGTAGCCTTTCTTCCCTGAATTATTTGCTCCTATAACATATCATTCATATATAGCAAACCATGATTTGATTTTTCATCAAACACAGTAGTAGTTTATTACAGGTAAAAATAACTTACTCTTCTTCCGCTCTACGCCTCAAAGGTCTATAATCGAATCTGTACATGTTATGGAGGTTCTGCAGGGTGTGGGGTATGTATGGTGTATATCTTGGCATATAATGTTGTGTGCTACTGTTGGTGTTTTCAACTAGCTGGCTACATAATGTTGTAACTGTCAGCTAGGCTACCTTTCTAATTTCTTTGCAACAGACGTTTTCCACTTCGGTAGGCATCATGGCGCAGTATCCACAAGTGCACCTAAATAACAACAGTTGTAGGTACAGTTCGGTTAGTTAGCGTATAACCAGGGTTGGGTTGTAACGGAATACATGTAACGGCGTTACGTAATCAGAATACAAAAATCAAGTAACTGTATTCAGCTCGCGCTACATTTGAAAAACGAGTAATCTGATTACAGTTACTTTCGTAAACCTGAAGTGAATACATTTTGGATTACTTATTGGAATTATTGGTGGAAAGATTTCCTCACAACATTTAATATTTATTACTAAAGGTACAGCCGAATCATCACAGCGCACAAAACCTATTACCGCCGCAGATGGACCAAAAAAGGGAGCATTTGAAAAAAATGTGCGGGTCCGCTCAGTGAAACAATAACCACGAAACATGGAGGAACAAAAGTCTGCGTTTAAATCGTGTGTGTGTGTGTGTGTAGAGGTGTGTGTGGTTAAAACACATCAGCCTGCGGTCGCTCTTTAGCCTTTCTAATGATTCTATCTGAAGGTAAGCACAGTGAAGGCGGTGCGTGAAAGGCGGTGCGTGAAAGGCACTGCGCGCTCCTCTTCTCAGAGGCTGAGTTCACCCTCCCGCTGCCTCCTGGTGCCGCAGAGATTTCATGAAGTGAAGGAGGTTTTCCTTCTATAAAACAGCTGCGGGCAGCAGATACTGTGAGTGTCACGGACATGAATTCATAGATCAAGGCAGACTGGTGCACACACTCTCCTGTTTTGCCAATCCGGTGCTTAAACAAATATAGCTCTACACCCCTGGCCGAAATGTCCTTAAAATTAAGTCCGAGTTCGAAATATATCTCAAATAATGTAGGCCTATGCACTGTAATTTCCCCACATAAACATAACAGTCAGCAATGAAATGGTTGTCTCCTGTGTGCTCCACTTCACTTCCTCCTTGGCGCACCGGTAACTATCCCTCACTCCTCACATCCCAAGCTGCATCCCCAAAAAGTTTATTATGTTGTTACATCGTTTCAGATGTTATGTTTCAGTTGTGCTCTTGATAAGCCATTAAAACAGTAAAAACACGTTCAGTTTCCTTTAACTTTTTGTGTCTCCTGTACACCAAAACATACCCATCTGTGATGGAAAAAGAAAGTAATCTAAAAGTAATCTGAATACGTTACTTTTTTAAGACACGTAACTGTAACTGTATTCGGATTACTTTCAGAGCCATGTATTCAGTAATCAGTAACTGATTACATTTACAAAGTAATCCTCCCAACCCTGCGTATAACATATACGGCTGTACCGACGCCATTGTAAAACTGATGTTCCGCTCAGAGCCGAAAAAAGCACTGTGTTAGACATGGGCGGAGCCTCTCTGGTGGTTGACTAATCAGAACAGAGTGGCCGAGCTGACCAATCGGAGCACACTGGGCTCACAGGGAGGGGGGGCAGGAGCTCCAACAAGCCGTTTAGGACAGAGAGTGAATACACATACTATACAGAGATGCTGTATGAGAAACCAATGTGAGTTTGGAAAATTGCACAATGTAAATCTATTTTAGTAGACCTCAATAATGGAATTATGATCAGTAGAAATGGCCATGAGATGGGACCTTTAACATCTCCCCATACTGCAAAATTAGTAGACATTTAGTGTTCAGCTGCATTTATCCTTGCACAGCAGATGTGCCTCCAACACCAGCAATGTGTTCACGCCACACTGGATCTCCCACCACTTTACATTTCCTGAAAACAGTTTCCCCCACTGAGGCTTTCTGCTTCGTTGTTCTGTACAGTCTCCCCCGGGTTTAACTCATTGTTCAGCTGTTGGTGATATGTCAATGCTGTTTTCTTTCTTTTCAGGTTCATATTTGTATATTTTGTCCCTCTACTGTGACATGTTTACATGCTATAATGTTCAAAATGCTCTGATTGGTTAGCTGGCCGGCTCTGTTGTGATTGGTCAACCGCTTAGAGATGTCTCGACCCTTAGCCAATCACGTACAATGTATTGGAGCGCTAGCCAATTGAAGCCTGAGTGTTACATAGTGATGCCACTTTGTTACTTAAGTTAACAAAGAAGTACAATGGAGGGAACTTTGGGGATTTTAGCCTTTGCAGACCATTTACATGCAAAAAAAACTATATAACACACAACAGGAAAGTGGAACCCCAACAAGCACAGCATTTTGTATTTTTGATTCAGTGGTGTTTTTTTGATACTCTAAATGTAGCCGTCTAGTTTTTTGTGTGTACTGATAACATTGAGAAATATGAATATCAACATTCACTCACCTCGATGACGCGTGAATCGAAGTTCTCATAGGTCTCTGTGAAGAGTGGGGGAGAGAAATAAGTTTAAATGAATAGGCTTGTACACTTAACACATTTGGCACAAGCACACACAATGTAAACAGATTAAACCTGGCTCCTGTGAGTGTTGCAAATACCCAGAAGCCCTTGCAGCAAGCGCAACGAGTTGACACTTTTCATTGTCAGTGACCTCTGAAGGATGTTACTCTCCCAACAGCAGCCTGAGCACTTCTAAGCAATTAACAACAAACAAAGGGGCCCAAAGGAGCGAGCGAACACACACACACACACACACACACACACACACACACACACACACACACACACACACACACACACACACACACACACACACACACACACACACACACACACACACACACACACACACACACACACACACACACACACACACACACACACACACACACACACACACACACACACACACACACACACACACACACACACACACACACACACACACACACACACACACACACACACACACACACACCAACACACACACACACACACACACACACACACACACACACACAGCTCTCTGCGCATCACACTCATCGAGCCCTCTGAGTACGTGTGTGTGTGTATGAAAGTGTCTGTTTATCTAGGAGAGTGTGTGTTTGATGGTGAGACAGCTTATAGAATGGTGACAAAAGAGAGGCAATATCAAGAGGAAATGAGAGAAGCAGGCTGAGGAGGATGTGAAATAAACAACAAGCAAATAAGAGACTCGATTCAAGCAGAAGGAGATGTAAAATGTGTTTTGCGACTTCAGAGCCTCGTCCCTCGACTGTCAGCAGTTTGAGGTAAATAGTCTAAACTCAATTCCAACAGCAATGACCGAGATGTAAACAAATAATCAGACTGGGAACAGGAGGAAACATCCAGGTGTTCCTCAGGGTTTGTAGTGAAGAGTTGATTAAGTAGGAGATTAAACTTTATGGACTTCAGAGACTTTACAAAGCCTTACATTTTTACCCTTAACCCAAAGTCCTGATATAAACCCTCACGAACCGAAAAGGGAGGGAAAACTAATAATGTTGGGTCTAGACCTATTTTCCTTACACGTTCAATCAAGAGACGCCAGGGGGCTATATAGACTTTCCTGCCATGAGTCATACAAATCTACAGCGGGAAACTACCTTTCTTACTAAATTCTTACAGTTTTGTGCTTTTAAGTCTCTTCCAAAAGTTTGAAGTTAATCTGGATAAGCCTAGTTTAAGTCAATTATACTATGAGATAAATACAGTATATTAAAAGACTGTAGTGATTGTGATTGTGTCCGGCAGTGGCTCAGTCAGTAGGGGCTTGGACTGTGAGCCGTAGGGTCGCCGGTTCAAGTCCCCGACCAGACCTACAAATGGAGTGTGGACTGCTATTTGGAGAGGTCCCAGTTCACCTCCTGCCCTGCCGTGGTGCCCTTGAGAAAGGCACCGGACACCCCCCTTCCCCCATTGCTCCCCGGGTGCTGTACAATAGCTGCTCACTGCTCCTAGTACTAGACTCCTGGTACTAGGATGGGTTAAAAGCAGAGAACACATTTCACTGTGTGCTGTGTGCTCTGCATGTGTGACCATTAAAGAGGGTTTCATCCCTCCCAATATTATTATTATTTGAACATGTTTTTTTAAACTCACGAGACTCTTTTCTGAAGTAATCTACTAATCTACGGCCATGCTCGCAGCTCTGTGATGCTGCATTTGAGCTAAAAGCATGCTAACAATGACAATGCTAGCATGTTGTTGTTTAGCAGGAATCATGTACTCCATCTTCGTTTAGCGTTCTTGCAAGCTCACATTCGCTAATTACGATAAACTTAAAAGCAGACTGATGGACGGACAAACATCGTCATGGATAAAATATGTCAGGTAAACATTAGGCTCTTGTCCAAGAACTGAGACAAAATTAAGACTAAAGTGTGTGGGAGGAAAGAGATAAATAGAGAAGGAGATGGACGAGAGAAAAATGACGAGAAAGACTGAAAGAGTGTAAAACTGAAAGGAAATGGAGATAATGACAAAAGAGATAGAAAAGGAGGGACGAGGAGGAGTGCAGAGAGTCAGGGGAAATGAAAGAAAGAAGTCTAGATATTAGAAAGAGAGAAAGAGATAATGAAAACTGTGTGATAGAGAGACAGAGTTCTGGTTGAGGAATACAGAAAGTGTCACAGAGAAAAGAAGAAGCCAGACATACAGACATAGAGGGAGAGATTTGTTTCTAAATGAAGAAATTCTCCCACTTGACGCTTTGGTCACATTCCCATCTTCCTCAGTGAGAATGGGCCACCATCTATTGCTTCATCCATCTCTTATTTCTAAGTCATCTACTGTTTGACAAAGAGGAATAAGTATGTCCAACACACACAACAAGTCTTCATGTTTCTATAGTTAAGACCAGAGGTGGAAGTAGTGGAGTACAAATACTTCGTTACTGTACTTAAGTACATTTTCCTGGTATCAGTACTTTACTCCACTACTTATTTTTCCGACGACTTTTTACTTTGACTTCTTACATTTCTAACTCAAATACCTGTACTTTCTACTTCTTACATTTTGAACACAAATACCTGTACTTTCTACTTCTTACATTTTGAACACAAATACCTGTACTTTCTACTTCTTACATGTTGAACACAAATACCTGTACTTTCTACTTCTTACATGTTGAACCCAAACACCTGTACTTTCTACTTCTTACATTTTCCAAACAGGCTGGTTCCTTTAGTTTGAATGTGTGTTTGGTGGCGTGATCATTATTATTTAGAGTCATTGCGTGCCTATTGATTTGAACACGATCCGTGTATCCATCATTTCCTGGTCTTCTCTAAAGAAGAGGGACCAATGAAAACGTTGTCATGTTGCCGTTGTTCAGCATGGAAACATTCATTAGCTAACAATGACATTATTGTTCTATTAATATAAAGGGAGGTCAGGTACTCTTTAAAACAGCTGCTAGTTATGGGTACTATTTACTTAAGTACATTTCAAAGCCCTCTTTACTTTTACTTGAGTAAAGAAGTTTAGTCAGTACTTCTACTTTTACCAGAGTATTTTTAAACACGAGTATCATGTACTTCTACTTGAGTAAAGGATGCGAGTACTTTTGCCATCTCTGGTTAAGACTGTTTGGATATTAGTTTACCTCCGTTGGGTCCAGGGTCCGGGGCTCCGATGCTGATGCCACCCCAGGAGTGTCCGGTCCATCCTCTCTCCCTCTTCACCTTCGTCTTCCACCTCTTCTCCCACTCATCCCTCTGACGAACTGCACAAATACACAAACAACAGATTGAGATCATAGCCCTGAGAGCACACTGTGGCCACATCGAAAACATAAAAAGTCGCAATTTTTCATTGTCAAAAAACGTGGTAATTACTTTTAACAAATGAGATCACAGCGGAGACAAATTGGCAGCTTCTATCTCACACCGTGGAGCTGTTAGTGCTTCTGTTTCGCAAATTTAAAACGGTTCCCTCTGGAGTTTTTGACCACTTGTAGGGCGATGGAATGGTTCCCAATTTTGTTTATCTCATGCATGCAAGATGCATACACACAAGAATAAGGCAGTTCACATTCCTGTCAAAGGTTTCCCGCTGTTTCACTGATCGACAGGAGGCAAAGGCAGGGGGGGAAAGTTTTCTAGTAAGTAAAAATACCAAAGCTCGACTCCAAATACTTTTTCAAGGAACAGCTCTGCAAATGTTGTATGGAGAAGAAGATGCATATTTTACATGTTTGACCTCAAACATGAACATACTGATTTGGGATTAGCATCACTTTATATTTCTATCTCTTGAAAGATTATTTCAAAAGAATTGCTTTTTTGCTTACAACAAAAATTATAAAGACTTATTCTTGCTATGGAAAAAAACAGCAGCCTTTTATATATCAGATATAGAGTGATATATTTGAGCAGTTTTTTAGTTAAAGTTGTTCCTCCAGGTTTGTATTGTTATGGGAGCAGTAAGTGCATTGGTACACAATTTATGATTTCATTTTCTATGTCTGCATGTCCAGAAACTAAAGTGTGTGTTCAGTGCTTTCTGTCTCTGTACCTATATCAGCTTGCTTCTCCTGCTGCTCACTCTCTCCTCTTCGACTCATGCTCAGCTGATTCCCGTCCCTCATCACCGGAGAGTTCAGACCGGGCCACAGAAAACCACCACGACCTGTAGGGGAAACACAAAGAGAGAGGAGAAGAGACATCAGGGAAATGGACGACAAAATATATTATACTTAGTTTAGTATTTCTTGTTATTTTCTCACCTTCTCCGACGGTCTGTCCTCGGTTCAGGTCTCTCTTCTGTTTACGTTTGGTCCTTTTCCCTCGACCCTTCTTGGATCCTGAACCTGTTTCTGCCAACACACCTTTCCACAACTCCTCTGCTGTCACTGAAAAAACACATACCAACAAAGAGATTAAACTTAAAGGTCTCCTATTATGCTATTTGTAGGCATATATTATGGGTCTCAGATATATAAAAATATATAAAAAAACATGTCTATGATGTGTTTTGCTCAAAATACCAAACAGATCATGCATTTTAGAAATCCCTCATATCCCTCTGTTTAACCTCTTAAGCCCTGAGCCTGTTTTTCAGGTCTCAGGCTCGAAAATGACATTCCCAGAACAAATGACCATATCTTCCCTTCTAAAAGGGGTAAATTAATAATCTTTTTTTCTCAAAGCAATGATAAACCTGTGAGTTGGATGTAGAAAAGTCAGAATCAATATAGATGTTTTTTATTTTAAAGAAAATTCAGATTTTACATAGTAAAAAACTGTAAATTATAGTGTCCGTCCAAAAATTCTTTTTTACTTATAGTGAAAACTACCCTTGGATGATGGGTTAGTAGACTAAAAGCTTTAGGAATCCAAAGTACAACATATAATAAGTACCCTGTATCAAGATTGATGCAAAACAAGTGAAATTTCACCTTTTTAGAGAGATTTAGCCAAAAACCCCCACTTCTGGGGTCATTTGGGTGGATTTGACCTATCTCTGGCCCCCCTTGGTCGATTTTGATGAATGAAATCTCTTTATAACCGCTAGAGCCAATGGAATCGAGGGAAAGTTATATACACACCACAACGTTAACAAATAAGGAGTGAGAGTGACGCGTTACCAAAACCGGAAGCTGCATACACTCTGGTGGCTACCATTAGCAGCTAACTTTTCCGCTCCGATTTTTGCATAAAAATGGAATTATGGATTATAAATAATTTTTTCAAAGGCACAGGTACATTATCAACCTATGGATCAACAGTTGTAGCATTTTCTTTTTTCGTTTTAATGCCATTGAACACGTCTTTTGACCTAATTGACAGCTACGGTGAGACGATCTGCCGTAAATGCTCCGTAAAGGTACGTGTTGTGATGTCTTGTGTTTGCTTCCCCTGTCACAAGTTCGGATCGCTCAGTGATGATACTATACCTAAATAATCTGTGGAGTCTCAGCTTTAATCGGATATATTGTATGTGCAGCTACGATAAGTAATAAGGGTATCTTTATCTTGAATTGCATTCTTATGAGACTTGTGTTTTGTTTTGGTAAAAATGGTTCATATCTTCAGTTAGCTGAGATTCTTCCCATTAATCTGGTGCTACACATTAATAGTTTCATAAATGTTAAGAAGCCCTGAGACATTATCTCGAAAAAAAACGGTGGGAGGGGTCCAATGGGGGGACCGCGTGCTTAAGAGGTTAAGACCTGTTAGAGAAAAAGTGCATTTTGCATGATAGGTCCCCTTTAACAGCTTTTAAGTTCTTTCAAATCTTCTACATTTTGTCTGTATAAGAAAAGGACAAGAAGGAAGAGGTGTGATTGTGAGACATCTGGTCACAACTCTTATAACATAACAAGTATATAGCATAACAAAATGCTACACCTTTACAGCAGTGAGTGTAGCTACAGCACTAAGCCATTATAGTTTACAATTGAACACGCCTATGAGAGTAATTTTGTGCAGCAGAACTGAATTAGGCTTCCCACTAAACTCAGCTGTTCTGAGGATATATGGATTCTGGGGGAATGTAAGGGGCTGGAAATTAGCCAAGGGATTGTAATTAAAATACAATAAAGATTTAGTGTTTGCAATGACCTGGTACCTAAAGTGGGTATAGAGTATTGCATGTAAGAAGTATAATCAACAGACTAAGACCCAAAGCTGCACCATACAGGTAAATGAAGGGCAATCAAGGTATGTTAATGCGACCAAAACTCTGCCAATAGTACATTTTGTAGAAATTCTGAAGATTAGGCCAGATACAGAGCCAATGGAAAGTAAAAAGCTGTTGGTGAGAGAGCAAAATCCATGTAGCAACACTTACAGGCACTAATGGAAACCAAGTTATTTTGATAAAGAAAGGTTTAAGCATAGTTTGCTTTAACTGATCAATTATGATTGTATTTCTCCAATAAGGCGACACAAGATTTTGGAAATAATCTTTTCAATAACTCACACTTGTTGAAGAAGCTGCCATGTCGGGTTTGCTGCCACGCTGTTGCAGGGAGCAGAGGGACGGCAGGGTTTCTTTGGAGAGACACAACCGAGGCTCGACTCGCCAACTGGGAAACATGAACTGCTCCTAAAGAGCGGAGCGACGCTGCACCTGGAGGAGAGAAAGATCCATTAAGTAAGAAGATGATGTAAAAAAACTGCATTATGTGCATAAACATAGCAGGTTTGATATACAAAGATACAACTGTGGATTCAATCATAGCTGCAAACATCAGGCTTTGCCAATACTTTAACTTGAGAAATAACAAATGAGAGGATTAGACTGGTAAATTACACGCATGCTTATACTGACTTTCTACAAAAACAACACAATTATAAATTAATATTATGCTAGCAGCATCAGCCACCTTCCAAGTTTCTCCCTTAATTGGCAATAATTGTCAACCCATTAACACACAGTAGGAAACGGAGACTGAGTAAAGGCAAAGCTTGATAATTTAAATAAAGTGCTGTTCTAGTATGTTGTAAGTATGCCGAATTAAAGCATAGACTCACCCATTGCATCACTATATATTCTTATTTTCTCAGAGGCATCTAAATGCATTTTTAAGCAGGGCGATATTAAATTGAACCAATATTGAATGAAGTTAGGTGGGGGTAATATCATACATCATTTCAAGGCCAGGGTATATGGGAATCATTTATATTTCCCATATAACCGTTTGCAGTGTTAATCACCAGTTCTTACAAATCCATGCTTTAGTTTTAGACTATTATGACAAGGATAGTAAAACTACTTGGATTAGATAGCATTACACTTGCTAGCAACACTCAACCTGACGTAAAACAGCAACAGTGACGGGGAGTTTAATATTTTTTTGACGCAAAAGTCTAACATGTAAAGAACTTGATCTTATTATTAATTCTATGCAATGTTTGTGGATGTTTTTTTAATCAAATTTAAGTCATTTTCTGGACAGCTGATGAAAGCTCTGCAGCATCACTAGGCTTGTCCCGGGTCATAAAATACAACCGTATATAAACAACTAGTCATACTTTTAAACGTAAATACAGTTAGCATAGTGTAATATATCTACGTATGTGTTTAAACGAAGCTGTAGAGGATAAGAAAGATAAGTTATTCACCTCTCAGTGAGATACGGAGGGCACAGCACACCCGTATGGACGCCGCCATGTTGGAATTGTGAGGGGTCCTTCATAGGACAACAATGCGTCTGAACGATGCCTGTTGAAAAATCGGTTTTGTAAGTTATTTTTCCCTCCTTTCATTTTTGTTATAATATGTGTAGGCCTAAGTAGCACATGTCACTGATTATTATACTTGTTATATATTTGTTTTACTTTAGGTGAATGCTACTGTGTGAGTTTGAAACTATTCCTAATTTTCAACTCTAGTCCATAGGTCTTTACAAACTTATTGTAATAAAAGGTATAGAACTTTCTGTCTCTCAACATTACAATACGAATCAACCTGTGATCTTTTGAATGTGAAAGAAGATAGAACAGAGACGGTAACTCTTCCTCTTCTCATTTAGTCATCCCACTCCATCTTCATTAATTTTCATCCCACTCATTTCCATTTCCTGTTCAATTACACAGAACAGCACCTCCTGTTCCTCTTTAAAAACTCTGCCGCCATTATTGCAGGGATAAGGATCGATGAGACACAGACACACGCACACGCACACGCACGCATGCACCCACGCACGCACGCACACACACACACACACACACTCACACTAGACTATTTGTGTTCCTTCATTTTATATTGATTTAATTGAGTCGTCTTTGCATGATGAAATCCATAATTTCATAAAACACAGTCTGTGAATCATTTTGACTTGAATGATATGTTTGAATCTAATGAGCTCTCAGTCCCGGGTGGAAAAAAAAACAGAGGAAAAACAAATTAAGAGGATTTTTCAAAGAGGCAGTCTGTTGATTGGCAGCGAATATAAAACCCCCACAGATCCTTGGTTTCCCCATATTTCTGCATACATGATTTATCGCATCAAGAGCAGTGGAACAAAGATAATTATAATGCAAAGAAGCTGCAGGAGAAGATGCATGCAGGAGAAAAGGTGAAGTAGATAATGGAAGAGAGATGGGGAATTGAAATCCTGTTAACAGATGAATATAAAATAAAACAAGAAGCGCATGTCAATTATTCACATTGCATTAAGGAAACAGGAAGGAATCAGATGGGAGGATCGTGCTTATTGTGAAAGTTAGGAGAAAATATTCAAGTGTGGGTTGCATTGAATGTCATATCCGCAGTGTTTGGAAGTAGTACTTTAAAGGTCTCCTATTATACTGTTTTTCATCATTATATTATAGGTCTCAGATACAAAACATGTCTCTGAAGTGTTTGGCTCCAAACACCAAACAGATCATTGTAGCATCCCATAATCCGCTCTGTTTCAGCCCTGTTTCAAAAGTGCTGATTCTCTGTCTGTTACTTTAGATGAAAAATAAGGAGCCACTCCCCACACCCCTCTGAGAGATATTTGGTTAAAAAGAACACAATCATAAAGTGGCCAAAATCTGAACAGCTCATTTTATATAAATGGATCATGACAAAAAGTGAGCACATGGGGACACATGTTTATGTATAAAATATATGAAAAAGTGGATTTTGCATAATAGGTGACCTTGAAATGCTACTTTGAATTACAATATTGAGGAACCAGAGATGACTGTTTGTTGTGTATTGTGGTGACACGTTATTATACATAATTCACCTGTGATATTATTGTGTTGCAACTCGGACCCGTTAGTGAGGGTTCCGGGGTTTGTTGTCATTCCTGCTAGCTTGTCATGCAGAGCAGTTCATGTACCTACGTCTTAGAGTTTAATGAATAATAAAGTGTGGAAGTCCATTCTGAATACACCGCCTCCGACTCCCTTTCATCGGCACTACACTGGTGACCCCGACGTTTTCGAGAAGGTTTCCGAAGACTCAATGAACATGGCTGAACGCGATGTTTTTGTAAAGCTGCCGGAGTTTTGGGAGCATGCCAAGCGTGGTTCGCTCACGTGGAAGCGCACTTTGCCTGCCGACAAGTCCGTGACGGGGATTTGAAATATTTCCACGTGGTAGCAGCGATGGGAAGCTCCACGTCATCCAGGTTGGTGGGATTTATCGCGGACCCCCGCACCATGGCAAATATGAGGCGATTAAGGCCCTTCTCCTTAAGACATTTAGCTTATCTGCTAAGGAGAGGGCCTGCCAGATTCTTGATATTCAAGGCCTAGGGGACAGCAAGCCATCTCAGCTGATGGAGAAAATGCTGAATCTGCTAGGGGGGGGATGACCCTCGAGTTTTGTTGACGGAGATTTTCCTGCGCCACTTGCCTTCCCGGGTCCAGACGGCGCTAGCCAACACACACATTACGGAGCCCCGTGCATTAGCTGAAGAGGCCGACCGTTTTTTCTTGGCTACCCAGCAGCCTGGTGCGGAGGCGTTAGCTGTGACACTCAGCGCCCCCTCAACAGTGAAGAAGCCTTGGGGGAGGCTGGACGCAACAGTGACGGGCCGGCGTGGGGACACGGGAGAGTGTTTTTACCACGCGCGGTTCGGGGCCAACGCGAAGAAGTGTGTCGCTCCCTGCAGCTACAAGCCTCCGGGAAACGGAGGAGCCAGCGCTCGGTAGTGGCCCTGAGCGTTGGTGGCACGAGCAGGCTTCTCTTCGTCAGCGACAGAGTCTCAGGAAGCTTGTTTCTGTGTGACACGGGAGCTCAATGGAGTGACAGCAGACATTTCTTTTCCCCTCATCGGGGCAGATTTTTTATGTGCTCACGGACTCCTGGTGGACGTTAAAAATAAACGCTTGGTTGATACCTTGACGTTTTCCTCCCTCGTGTGTACACTGGGCAAGGCAGTGTACGACGGGCTGTCAGGCTCGCTGTCGGGAGCGGACATGTTTCTCAGGCTGTTGGCCGAATTTCCAGACCTGACGCTACCCACCTTCTCCGCGTTCACCACCAAGCATGGGGTGGAGCACCACGTCACCACCGACGGTCCCCCAGTCTACGCCAGGGCCCGGCGGTTGAACCCTTCTAAGCTCGCAGTAGCGAGGGCGGAGTTTTCAACCATGGAACGCCTGGGTATCGTCCGCCGTTCTGACAGTCCTTGGGCCTCTCCTCTACACGTCGTTCCTAAGCTGAACAGCGGTTGGCGCCCGTGCGGGGATTACCGCCGCCTCAACGACGCCACGACACCTGACCGCTACCCGGTGCCGCACATTCAAGACTTTTCAGCACATCTGGCCGGTACGTTGGTGTTTTCTAAAGTGGACCTGGTGCGCGGTTACCACCAGGTGCCCATGCATCCCCTGGACGTCCCTAAGACGGCGGTGACTTTTCGAGTTCCTGCGGATGCCTTTTGGGCTCAAGAACGCCGCTCAAACATTCCAGCGCCTGATGGATTCGGTGCTACGGGACCTGCCGTTTGTGTTCGTTTACCTGGACGTGGTTTTCGGTGACGCAGGCGTTACTCTCCTGTGCGACGTCTCCACAGGCCTGCCGCGGCCGGTCGTTCCCGCCAGTTGGAGGCGCTCCGTTTTCGAGGCGGTGCACGACCTGTCTCACCCCGGCGGTAAACCTTCGGTGCGCTTGGTGGCCGTGAAGTTTGTCTGGCGGGGACTGAAAAAGGACGTGAGGACTTGGGCTGGTGAGTGCGTGGCTTGTCAGCGCGCTAAGGTGCATCGCCACACGAAAGCTCCTTTGGAACGTTTCCTGGTGCCGGAGAGGAGGTTTGACCACGTCAACATCGACCTCGTGGGTCCATTGCCCTCCTCTCAAGGTTTTTCCTACCTCCTCACCATGGTGGACAGAACGACCCGTTGGCCGGAGGCAGTTCCTCTTGTGTCGACATCGGCGGCTGACATAGCCCGGGCTTTCATTGCGACGTGGGTGTGTCGGTTTGGCACCCCATCGGGCATTTCCTCTGATAGGGGTTCGCAGTTCACGTCTGAGCTCTCTCTCTGGCCTCTGTGAACGTTTCCATCGCTCCATGAAGGCAGCGCTCAGAGCTGGCCTGAAGGACGGAAATTGGGTCGATAAGCTGCCTTGGGTGATGTTGGGCCTGCGGACCGCGCCCAAGGAAGATCTGCAGTGTTCCACGGCTGAGATGGTCTACGGTCAGCCGTTGAGGGTTCCAGGGGATTTCCTCCCTAACACATCGGTTCCCTGGTCGGCGTCTGCACAGCGGGTTTGCCTGCAGGACACCGCCGAGGTTTTTGCTCCGATTCCCACTGCCCAACATGGTACTCAGGTGTCCCGGGTTCCCGCGGATCTCCGCTCGGCCGAGCACGTTTTCATACGGCATGATGCGCACAGGGGTCCTCTGCGGCCTCCTTACGACAGACCTTTCCGTGTTTTGGAGCACGGGGACAAAAACCTTGTGGTCGACCTGGGTGGTAAGGCCGAGCGTGTTTCTGTGGACCGGGTGAAGGCGGCCCATTTGGATTTGGGCCAGCCGGTGGTGCTGGCACGGCCTCCGCGACGGGGGCGCCCCCCGGCTTTGATCCCTGTCACTGACTTGAGACCTGTTGTTCCGGTCTCGCCTCTTCCGGAGGCCGCACATGCGGAGGTCATTTTCCCGACTCCCGTGCTCAGGAGTCGTGGGGGTCGACCTGTCATGCCGCCCCGCCACGCTGATTTTGTTTATGGGTGAATTCTGGGGGGGCTCGTGTGGTGACACGGTATTATACATAATTCACCTGTGATATTATTGTGTTGCAACTCGGACCCGTTAGTGAGGGTTCCGGGGTTTGTTGTCATTCCTGCTAGCTTGTCATGCAGAGCAGTTCATGTACCTACGTCTTAGAGTTTAATGGATAATAAAGTGTGGAAGTCCATTCTGAATCCACCGCCTCCGACTCCCTTTCATCGGCACTACAGTATACTCAATCACTCAACTATGGATGAAAAATGTCTTAATTGCATAATACACTGATAAAAATGAGTTTTCTTTTACTCAAAATCTCTCCTTTTATTTAATGTGCTAACTTGAATTTGCAAGTAATTTTGTATCTTCATTTTGATAAGTAAATGTAAATCATAGCACCAAGTAAATGTTAACTAAAGTAATGTGTTGACCTACAACCTGTGACAAGCTAGTAAAATGTACCTGGGCAATGCGAGTAAAGGTGGGCGACGCCCCCGATGGCGTCAGAGGGGTTTGCGCATGGTGCAGACAT